GTGAGGGGGGAAGCGCTGCACTGCGCCGGCGGAGCGCGCGCTCTTCTACCTGGGACACTCAACTCGCGCAGCGCTCGGCCCAGCTGGGCGTGCGCCACCATTGAGCCTGATAGACAAACCGACTGTCCAATCAAAAGCTGCCTTCCTGCGTCTCCAGCCAATGAGCAGACGGTGCCCGGTGAAGAGGGGGCTGGTGCCGGGCGTACCCCGCCGGCGGGGCTCTCCTCAGCGGCGCTCCGGGTGCGGCGCCCGACGGGCACCGCAGGTGCCGCCTTTCCCGCCCGCCGGGATTCCTGTCACCTGCTGGGCCCGCCCGCCCTCCGGCGAGGCGTTGTGCCTGCCCGGCAGCGTCGTTTGCTGGGGAGAACTGAGGGGGAGCGAGATGTCGGGGAAGCCGCTTGTCCATCGCATGAAGCTCTCGTAACGCGCTGGTTCGAGCTGTGGGCTCTCGCCCTTACCGCGAAGTTACCCAGTGATGAAGAGCTTCACGCATGCTTCTAAGGCTGTCGTAAAACTACACAAAATTACTTGTAGCTTGATGTTTTAAAAGAAAGGGAAAGATTGACTTTCTGGTGGTTCATTTGCAAAAGCTGAATTATCTTGTAGTCTGCAATTAAGTTACTGCCAAAGAAACAGAAGCATTAAAAGTGTTAGAACTGCTTTTTCTACCACCCTCCCCTTTAGAAAGAATAAGGGCCAAACAGAGCAGACGGCCCATCTCATTTTTTACAATTAAACAAGCGAAAGGTTGCAAAGGAGAAGTACCTTGAGGAGAAAAAAAAAAAAATGCTGTTCTTCTCCAAAACAAAAAAAAAGCCACACTTGAAACAACTTAAAAAGACGTTGTAATACAAGGCAATATGTAGCCCTGAGGTCCACATGGTCATCACTGTGTTTTCCTAACATTATAAATAAGCTACTGTAACTACTAGTTCATATAGTTAATGTGTCTGTAGATCGGGCTAAACGCGAGTGTGAAACGCTTTTGACTCTTCAGTTTTTAATCTAGTGTCATAAGCTCTGGATAACTTTTAAAGCCTTAAAAATATGCTGAAGTACTGTAGAAAATACTTCTCTCATGCAATTATTTTGTAGTTGCTTATTTATTTTTAGTATTGGTTGTAATAATTTGTACCTGTGTTCTTACATTCCTCTTTTTTTTTCCTTTTTCTCTTAGCTCCAGAACTAATATTCCCAAATATGACTCTCTTTGGGCCTAGTCCTGTGAACTTTGGTAAGAAACCTCGTTCTCGGTAGTAAATACTATTCCATACAAGATGTTTGTAAGACTGAGACCGTAGTCTTCTGTAACAGCAAATTAAATAAAAGTTGTTGGAGAGTACTTCCTTTTCATGGAAATCAATGTGGTTTATCTTTTCCCATGTTGTTCTATATGACTTTCACTTGTATTTAACCCTTAATTAAATCATGTATTTCATTTTTTATTTACAAGCAATTCTCTAAGGAGTAACATACCCTGTGTAAGAAGAGAGGTATCAATGTATTTTCTCCAGATTTCAACACCTTTTTTTACTCACCGTTTCACTGCAGTTCAACGTAACGTGCTACACTCTACTTGAGGGGAGTTTGTATGAGGGTATTCAAATTACCTTTAACTGAGGTATCTTGGTCAACACAAGCAAAGATGGAGCAGCATACCAGGCTACCTATCCAGTATGTGGAATCCTTAAATACATACTTTGTGTTAAAGCCTATTATTTGGAAATCCATCCAGCTAGGCTGGTGAATCTAGGAGGCAAACATGACTAGAAACTGAAGCCCTACTGTCAAATGTTGTTTGTATACTGCTTGTTTTGGTTGCATGCAAGTTTTCATTTGTGGCAATTAGCTAGAGCCTTTGTAAGCATAGAAAATACTTAATCTTTTTCTTCCCTGTAAAAATATGTACGAAATAAAATCCATGTTTTTCCAGTTCCAGTATTGTGTCTCATAGCTTTTAGTGTATTTATCTAATGAATTTCACTTTGTAAAATGCTAGCTTTAGGAATGTTTTCACCTTGTACAATTTTGTTATTATAATCAATTCTAATTACTATTTTTAACATCTGATGATATCAAATATCAAGGCTACAGTGACATCTTGTGGCATTAACTATAGGTAGAGAAGCAATTTTCTTGGAGTCCTGTTGCATCATTTTAAGATTATATCCTGATTTTTTCAACAAGAATTTTTTAAATATATCTTTTAGATACCATTTTTAAACTCCTGTGTTGCATAACCATTAATTGCTACAGAACATTCAGAGGTGGTAATGAATCTATTCAGACTCCAAAATATTTTGAAGTGATATCTAAATAATCTCTAAGAAATCATCACATGCATATTATTTTGTTAAAAATATAAATTCACAGTACTGTATTTCATTAAAGAATCTTAAGACACTTTTATTATCATCAAGGGATAAAACGTTACCAGTGTTTAATAAATAAACAAACAAAACTCTTTTGGTTCCTAAGCACAATGAATTATGCCTAAAGCTGAAGTCGTATCTTTGAATTTTCTTTGCTATCTAAGCCTAACTGCTTAAGGCTGTATTTTGATGGCTTTTTTCCCTCATGAGTGGGCCTTATCTAAATTAAGTGAATGTATGTGCCAACAAGTACACATTTTTTAAATCTTGCTGCTGCTCATCTGTATGCAAACTGTGAGCTTACTTTAAACTGAAAAACTTGGGTCAATAATCTGAATATAAATACATCACAAATCTGTTTTATCTATTTTATTTGACAATCGTACAAATTAAATTTACCATTATAATAAAAGCTTGTTCTACTAATTCTTTCACTGATACAGAAGAACAACAAAAAAACAACCCAAAACAACTCCTCCTGCCCAACAAAGAACCCAGTACTAAGATTTGGCTGAGTTGACAGTTCATTTCACATTTTAAATGTAAGGTAAACATCATCTGAGTCTTCACAATTCTAGTCGATACGGCACAGAACAGAAATTACAGAAGACCAGTAAGTAAATGGAATGCAGTAAGCTACCACTAGGAAATTTTCATTTTGGGAAAGATCATAGACCTGTTTGTATACTACTTATCACTACAGCACAATAATTAAAAGCTACTTTTCACTATTACAACAAAATGAAGCAGACTTTACATTGCCAGGTTAAGATTTTGCCCTTTAAATCTTACAAAAGTACCAGGAAGACTTCACTGAACAGTAACCAAATCCATTAACACTAGTAGAACAAAGCAAAAGAACCTTCCGTTCCCCCAGACGACTTCCCTCAGAAGAAACCCAAAGACTCGCTCTCAGAATCAGCCTTGCTGTAAAGAATTTGTCACATTTTCCAACCACATTTTGTTCAGCTCACTTACTACAAAAATTGATAAAACTATACACCATTTGTGTAGATGCTATTTGCGTGCTAGGTATTAGCGGTTATTGATTGCCCATAGATACCTTTGAACTGAATCTAAGAATCAATTAAAAGCTGATGCAGATGGAATGAAATCTACTTTAGGTGCCAGATTTGGCTCCTCTCTGTGATCCAGGAAAATCACTGTCTTTTGTTCTTTCCTTCGTACCACAAAAAAGTTCTGTAACTGCAATGGAAAAGTCTTGTCCTGTCTATGTTAACGTTTCCAGAACGGCAGATTCCCAATCTAATAACAGCTGTTAATAATAGTTCTGTTTCTTGCTATAGATGAAGCCAGGCCATTCCGAGACTGTTAATAGTCCAGCCCTGTCAAATATCACTGTACCTTACAATACATTTTTTTATAATTCTTTACCCATTCATTGCACATTTTAATTCTGTTGTCACAGCCACCAAAAACAGATGAAAGGAACCAAAAAGTGAAGTAAATATTCACTTTCATTGAAAGAGTAGTTAAAAAAAGAGCAGACCTGTAACATTATGAAATGCACACGCTGTAATAAATGTAGAACAGCTTGCTCTTATTAGGAATTGTAAAGACATTTTTAAAAAAGGATTTTCTTGGACACATTTTTGTAACAATGTACACACAAAATATCAAAATAAAACTAAGTACTAAAGAGTATTAATAAAGTAATATCCCTTCCATTTGTTCTGGCTGCTTATGTAAGTTTCGTATTTCATGTATTCATGTTTCTTACACTTTCAAGTGCCAAGTTTTACCTTTCAGCTGCTTGCAGTGTTTCAGCAACTCTAGGCAAATTAATAATAGGAAAAAAGCCACATCAGAGAAAATTTTCCACTGTCTCAGCAGTAGTAGGTATTGTAGGCAATGGTTTTAGGACTATCTGAGATTAAGATGAGGTACTCTTTCCTGGCTTGCTTTCATAGCAGCTTTAGGAACATCTCAGAATACAGAAGAGCTTATATACAAACTTCAAAAGGGTTTTGTACAGTAATCTAGAAGCCTGGCCAACAGTTTACTGTAGCCCTTCTATAGTTGCACTGGGAACTGGGTAGAAGAGGTGAGGAGAGGAGGGGGAAGGCAAGGAAGCATCTCAATCTGTAAGCATCAAAAATATGCCTAGACCTCATTCAACTAGATTCGTATATTTAAAAAAGAAAAAAAATCCAAAACATAAGCACTGAAGGGTAGGAGTGCATTTTTGTCTGCATGTTTCTGAAGAACTGGCCTAAGTAATTGTAATAGCTTCTGAGGATTTAAGAGGATGATTTTATCACAGCTAAACATTAGTGTACATTCTTTAAGTTTTCTCAAAACTTACCTTGGAGAATTAGTAAGAAAGGAAAAGAAAATACATAGAAAGCCAAATGGAAAAAATTCAGAGGCTACAAATAAGGATGGCCAAGATGCAGTAATTACACCACCTTCTCTCCTTGAACTCAGTACAATTCACTGAGTATTGTTTAACATCTAGCCCCTTAAATTCATTGGCTTACATTTTATTTTTGTGATTGGCATAATTAGGAAAACCAAACTGAGAAATCATGATATTAGAATATTTTAAAGGCATGCCATCATAAATATTAACCAGTTTATTTACACAGTAAGATCTCTGTAACAAATGCTCTGCTCGGTGCCACATTCCAGAATAGCCAGTGTTAGTGTCTTTTTCTAAATTTCGTATATCAACAGGCTTCACAAACACTCCTGAAGGCTTTCCAGTATGCTTGGCTACCAGAAAATTCATGGCAATATCATCACAATTTTGAGTTTCATCTATTAAGGCGTAAACAGCTTCTGGCTGTCTTTGAAAGTCTTCTAAATACCCACTGTGAAAAAATGCTGCACCGATCAGAACCATAGAATACTGATCTCCGTTTCCAAATCCAGGGTTCTGCAATTCAAAGCTGCCATAACTGTATACACCTGAAGGAGTAGAAATGTGCTTTCTAGGAACAAATCCCACTATATGGTCTGGAAATTGCTGAAAGAAAAAAGAAATTTAAAAAAATTAAAATGAAGCCCACACTGTGAAATGTGTGTTATGTATTTTCGTAAGAGAGATTTATGCTTTTTTAAAATGAGAGGAACACAAGATTATTGCCAGGAAAGAACTACATTGTTGGCATATGGTCCTCTGATCTGCACAGATGTTGCAATTAAACACAGTTTTGCAAAACTGACACAATACACCTCATTCCACATCATGTAGTGCCAAGAAACATCTATCCACAATTTACAGCTATGTATTTGGCACTCAAAATAAGTTAGCAATTTCTCTTAGAGAGAAAAAATGCACATGCTTTTGTTTTGCAGCCTACTATCAATTTAAATAAATTTAGCAGTCAGCAACTTCAGTGTTCATGTATAAGAAGAGTTAAAAATTTGAAGGGTATAGGTTACAGGTATAGCTACTATTGAAGAATATTTTTGCAATTTCTACTATTCAATGCTTCAATTCTCCTAAAAGTTAACTTTGTAACTAGAAAACCCATAGTAAACCATTACAGTATAGTATAACCCTAATTAAAACCATTAATCTCCATTGTAACGTGCAAGTACTGCCTGCCAAGGTACAAAGTGCAAAACATTACCTGCCAAACAGAAAAGGCAAAAGCAAGGTCATGAGCACTGACTAGCGTATCATCATCCATCATTAAAACAGCTGAAGGGAGAAAAAAAACATAGAAAACCTTTTAACTTATTAAAAGATTAAATACACGAGCACAGTATTTGACAAGTTAGCTGTGAAACTTCTATAACCATTAAGCTGAATTGCAGAACTGAATTGTAACTCCTTGAAAGTAGACTGAGAAAACATGTTTAGATTCCAGAGCTAAAGCAAGATTGTAGCTTTGTGGTAACTGAAAGCAAACCTAAGTTTTAGATTATTTGCCAGGCTGTAACAAAACTCAGCAACCTCTGGTCATCTGTAGTGCAGCTGGACAGATGTGTGTTGGAAAACTTGGAGCGTTTGGCAAAGCAACTTAAAATTCTACTAATCTCGTGTAAAAATGCAACTAAAATAAGGAGTTGGATACCATTCTTTAGTGTATGAGATTTATGTGGGATTCTTAGTTTAAAATTTTACCTGTCTCCTCACTACTTGCCAAGTTCTAAATACGCAAGCTTAATAAATTGCACAGACAACATTCAGTATTACTAACTACAGAAGGAAGAATCTTTGTCTTAAATTTAGGCAAAAGACTAACAGGAAGCGGAAAAGGAAAGATATTCTCAGATCAGAACTTGAGATGTATTAAAGCTTTTTAAGTTTATAGTCAGAATAAATCCTTTTACAGTAAATAAAACACTTGGGAAGAAGTTGAAGTTTCTATTGTCTTCCTAGAAGTCATGGGTTTTGAGAGGCAAGGCATGTTAGGAAGGGGGCAGTAAATAGAATTACCTTTACTAATCATGAGTAAGGTCAGGTCTGTAATGCAACATATGGGCATTTTTTCCACTTGAAAGAAACAGGGCTTATTGCTGTGCTTCTCCTGGAAAGAGCTTAGGAAGAATATTTAAATGAATAGCCAAAAGAATGAGGAAAATACTCTTTAAAAAAAGGATGCATAATTTGAGATAGAAAGCCAGACAGCTAGGGAGGGAAGTTTCTCTGAAGAACAGAACATGCTTGAGAACTTAGTCTTAAAATGAATGGATCAAATCAAGTCTTTACCAGATGACTTAAGTCCAAATCAATGCAGAGACTCAACAGATACATGCACTATGGATTTCAGTTTACATTATAAAGGGAAGAGAGGCTGAACTATCTGTGTTTGCCTGACAAAGGAAACAAAGAATAGACATGGTTGCAAAAACCCATTAAATGCTTTTGACATTCCTCTTTTTTCCTTACTCTTCATTGATAGCCTCTAGCCTGCTGGTGGTGGTGTGCATCTGATACCATAACATAGGTTTCTCCTGTATTACCCACGTTCTATTAAGTGGCCCAACAGATCCATGGATTTATTACATACTGTCCTGGTTTCGGCTGGGAGAGAGTTAGTTTTTCTTTTTAGCAGAGGAGCTAGAAGAGCTCTGTTTTGGATTTAGTATGGGATTTGTTACAAGAAGAATGTTGATAGTGCACTGATGCTGATGGTGTTGAGATAGCAAGGACTTTTCAGCTTCCCATGTTTTGCCATGGTGCAGGAGCACAACAGGCAGGGGGGAGCAGAGCCAGGACCGAGGAGGGCCCACAACTCCCCTTATGATTTTAATTTAGATTTAGGATTGAGGGCCAAATTGGCCAATGGAGTATTCCATATCATGCAATGTCATGCCCAGTACATAGAGGAGGGTTGACCAGGATGTTGGAATAGTTTGGAATTCTCTTCTGAAGGCTCTCTTGGTCTCTCTGAGTTCTCTCTCTCTCCCTGCCCGCACCCCCCCCCCCCCCCCCCCCCTCACGCCCCCCCTTCCTCCCATTGCGGTGTTGGGATTGCTTGCTGGGATAGTACAGGCGTTGGTCACCAGGTGGTGAGCAATTACATTGTGCATCACTTGTTTGTATATATTATTATTATTATATATACACATACACCTATATTATGATTATTATCATTACTGCTTTTAAATTTTTATTATTAGCAATAATAATAAATTGTTCTTATCTCAACCCATGAGTGTCCTTCCCTTTTCCCCTTTAATTCTCTTCCTCATTCCCCCGGGGGTGAGAGAGGGTGAGCAAGTGGCTGTGTGGCGTTTAGTAGCTAGCCGGGTTAAACTACAACAATAACTCCAACCATCTCTCTTTTAGCATTTAGATTTGAAGTGTGAAAATAATAGTAGTAGCAGCGATGTGAACTGCTGCTTACCTTTTGTTTCCAGCTCAGGGAAATTCTGGAGTCTGTTCCTCATGCGATTTACAGTTTGAACTTTAAAGACAACAGGGACAGGATGAGGCCCCAAGGAATTCCACATTTCCTCTGGTATCTTCTCACCAATGTTGTTCCATACGACAATTACTTTATGTAGGTAGGGGATGGCTTGATAGTGATTTAAAAGCTTTAGCAGTAAGTCAGTTCTATTATATGTCTGCATAATAAGAGTAAATGAATCGAAGGCAGACTGACTCGGGGTTTTCGGTTCCCTTCTCAAACTGGGTATTTTGTCATCTTTGATATTGGGAAGCAAAGCTGTTAGAGCACCTGCCACAAGAAGTAAGACAATGATCACCACAGAAGTGAAGCGTAGTAGGCGGATTCCCATAACTCTTCCTGGAAGCTTACAGAAGTGAAAATACCTTTAAAACAAGTAACAGGAAAGGAAAAGTCATTAATCCCATGTATAGTTATCTCCCTTACTCGAGCAAAACTCCCACAATATCAAGTAGACTTTTCTTTAAGTAAATAAATAATGAGGATTTTAGGACTTGGGCCAAACTTTCAACTATCAAGACAAGTACTTCCAGTACTCAGTTTCTATGTTTACTTGCTTTCCACTTTTTTTGGCTAACTTTGAATTTCACTGTTCTGTGAAAATGAATCTAGAGTAATTCCATAACTCTCGATTGTTCATCTCTTATTTTCCCAGTACTGCATTTTTGATTGAACATTTACATACCTCACTATAAACCCATCCAGCTGAAATCAGAAAGCAAATTTCTGAAGAGACACAGTATTTTCAGCATTGCAGGACCTCTGCCTTAGCTGGGAAACAAAAGGGAGAGAAGATACCTCCTCATGAGCTCTGGCAGAAAGGAGGAAGTTAAAAGCTCTTTCTTTTTCCGTTGCAGAGGCACCATACACAGCAGGAACAATCTTTATCAGTGATTAGCTGGAATTTTGTTGATAGTTTGTATACCTGCTTGATAATGGTTATTAATCTGGAAAATACGATTCTGATCATATCAACTGAGGCTATTAACACAGGTGGAGCAAAAGAAACATGCCAAATAGAGTAATGTAGGAATGCAACAACATCAGTAACAGCTGGTCTGCTAAACCTAGAACTCAGAAAAAAAATCAGATGCGGGGTGCTGTGTATCAGCTAACTGGGGGAGCAGCCTTAGTATAAGGTAGGGGTTTCTGGATCCTCCTGATTTTGGACCTAAACAGGAGCTTTTAAAGTGTCTCCTACACAGGTAGCCCTGGTGTTCATGCCTCTTAGGTAGCACTCCCAGTTCTCCAGACACTTATAAATTGTAATCTCAGCAGGATCCAGCAGCCACTGCATCCCATAGTTTGCACCTCAATGCATCATCTACATCTGTTCTTCCTCCTTTACTTGCAAGATTAGTATGAATTGAATACAAGATGAATATTCTAAGCTTTGTACCAAACAGTTACTCATCTATACATATTACTCATGTTGCTCCATTAGTAATTTCTAGAAAAAAAAAAGGAAATTCTGATCAAATTAAGTGATCCAGGACAGCCCCATCAATTACAAATTTTGAGAGAGCATCTGTGTGTTTTTTAAAGATGTTTTGATCATTTTTTTCACAGTGCATATAGCATGCTTGAAAATATGAATGTTAATTATTTTAGTCTAAAAAACCTCTCAACTTACCTCATTGTTTCCAAGTAGGATTGTTTTTCCCCCCTGTTTTTACAGGACAGTTGTGTTTGATCTTTCAATCTGTTGGAAATTAAAGGGACTCCATAACTGAATATCAACAGTTATCCCACCTGCTACCCAGCATTCTTTTTCAAGTAACTGTTCATCTCAATTACTGATGGATGTAAGCATTCTTGGCAATTATCCAATCCCTTTTCCTATTGCTTAGTTGAATAATTGTCTCTGCCATTCAATGAACACTCCAGAAAGAAGTTATTACACCAGCTGGTTAGAAAGAAAAGCACAGCATATATCTCTGATTGTAAAATTGTTGCTTTGTACCAGTGCAACCTCTATGCATTCCATCCTTAGGGTCTGCTTCAGAGATACAAGTAGGTCTCCAGAACCTCACAGCCTGTTGCTTTGCTCACCAGACATCACTAAAATATATATTTGGCTATATTTGTCAGATAAGTAGTCCAAATAAAATTATTTTCTTTTCTGGCTCATCCCCTTCCCACTCTCCTTCCACTAAGCTTAGCAGTTATGTTAGAGGTTTAAGACACAGCATTTTGTTCTTCCCATCTGGTTTCGCAGCTTGGCAGAAGGGAAAGCAAATATGAGCATATGCACAAAAAGGAAGGATGGACAAGATGCAGGACTGCAACCTAAGAAACCAGTGTCTCTTAAAGCTCCAGAGTTGTTGGACAAATTTTTCTTCTTTTAAAACTAGTTGGACGAAGAAAGGGAGGTTTTATTTTTGATTTAGGAACGATATTATAAAAGTTTAGAGAGCAAGAACTTGTATTTAATAATTGAACCTACGTGAAATTTTTTAACAGTAATTTGCTTAGGTTATATAACCTTACTTCTTTAAAGTACAGAATTGCCAATTTGTGTTGATACCAATCTCAATATGTCCACTCATACAGGCCTTCCCAAATTTGAGTTCCATTTTTTCCACTGCCTTATTTTGTGAGGCTGGAGAGGTCATTTAAACTAGTTCCAGATGTTATTCAATTGTTCTGGTTGTGTCATTTTATAGGTGCAAACAATCATGCCTGACTTCTAAAACGGACTGGCAGCAGTAGCTACTTGGCATTTCTTAGGACCACCGTATCCTGGTCCAACGTGCTTTTAGAAAGATGAACCTTAGATTCTCTTGCCCTAATTGCAACCCAGACAGAACGATACTTACCAGTACTGCTGCAATGATTAACTAGCTAAAATTTAAAAGCATACTTAAGATGAAAGTACAAATGTTGTTTACTGTGGTAATGAGACTTCCTGGTTTGCCATACGTTCTTGTGTTTACTTGAGTGCATACAATGGGCTGTAATGATAAGTCAGGATGATATCATTATATTGTCTTTAATTAAAATAGACGTCTACATAAAATCTTCAGAATTAGCATCATGGCACTTTCCAGTATGAAAGCACCGATTGGTTTTGCCAGTTAAGTTATGAAACTGCAATGCAAGATTGACCTATTTAAAAAATTCTTACAATACGCCCTGTAGAGGACACCTCTTCAAAACTGATGAAAATAGAAAGCCCGTGTCAAAATACAGCGGTTTAATCCTCATTCCAAGAAAAACACTTCTTGAACGGGCTCCCCTCTCTTCGTGGGCAAAGACCTCATCACAGCATTTCATAATTATATGCCGCCGGGCAGCAGAAGCGCACAGCCTCCCCCCCCGGCACCCC